TTTAGGTCCGTGAAGTCAACGCACATCCTCCAGGTACCATTGGCCTTCTGAACCATCACCACATTTGCCAGCCATTCTGGATATTGGCAAGGTTCGATGAAGCCTGCCTCCAGCAATTTTTTGACCTCGGCTGCGATGTCCCGGTTCTTATTAGCGGAGTAATTCCGCCTCTTTTGCTTAACTGGTCGACACGTTGGGTCAACATTAAGCTTATGGGAGATGAGGTCTGGACTTATCCCGGGCATATCAGTTGCCGAGAAAGCAAACACATCTCTGTTGTCCCGAAGGAGCTGAATAAGTTCACAACGGGTGTTCGGATCAAGGTCCATCCCGATTGTTACACATTTCTCAACGTCTCCTTCGGCCAACTCAACTGTTTCAGTCTGTTGGTCCATGCCCATTGCTGATGGACTGGACTCTTCATAATCTGGCCTGCTGCCTATGTCAGCAGGTGTCCCAGTCTTTTTGTTCTTCGGCTGGCTCTCTGAGTCCTGCTGTTCAGCTGAAGAGCTAGCCTTTTCCCTTTCGAGCCCTTTACCTCTGGGTACAGATCCTTGGGCCGAAGCACTTAGGCCTTTCGGCTTTTTTGTGCTTGGCTCTCTTTCTTTTTCTTTCTCCTCCTCATCCTTGTCGTCATCTGGGCGACTACTGGATGGCTTGAGGTAGTTGCACCTTCGGGCGTCCTTTTGGTTGCCCTATATCCTTTCGGGGAAGCCGGCGTCTGAGACGTAAATCATCAGCTGATGATAAGTTGAGACGACCCCTTGGATCTCATGAATTATGGGTCTCCCCAAAATCACGTTGTACACTGAAGGAGCGTCAATGACCAAAAATTCAATCATGACGTTCCTGGCTGCCTCATCGCAGCCGATGGTGATAGGAAGTGTCACCTTCCCATCTGGATAAGTTGAAGCCCCGTTGAACCCGGATACCGGGTAGGGTACCGGCGTAAGGTGCTTGGGCTTCAGCTTGATTTGATTGTAGGCCTTTCGGAACAGAATGTTTGCTCCGCTGCCACCGTCAACAAGGACCTTACTGACGTCGTGGTTGGCCACCGTGGCGATGATCACCAACGGATCCTCGTGAGGGAACGTTATCCCCCGGCAGTCGGCGGCTGTGAACGTCATGTTCGGCACCGGCGACTGGGGAGATTGAATGTCAGCGTTGTTCACCTGGTGAGTCAAAGCTCTAAGGTGTCGCTTGTGCTCCCTCCGAGAGCATATTCCTCCCGAGATAACATTGATCGGAGAGAATTTCCCCTCCGGCTTTTTACTGTTCTTCCGGGGGAAGTCGAGGTCTTGCCGAGAGTCCTTTGCTGACTTCTCGGACTCTTTTTTCCCGCGGTGATCCGCGATGTATTTTTTAAAGTATCCCTTCCAGACCATGTCCTCTATCTGGTCCTTCAGTTGGATACACTCCTCAGTGTTGTGTCCCGGAGACTCGTGGAACTCGCACCACTGATTTTTATTTTTTCGCTGATACCACTCTGGGAGTGGTCTCGGCTTTCGGTAACTCTGCTCCTCCTTCATCACGCTGTAAATTTTGGCGCGTGGAAAAGAGAGCGGAGTGTAGGACTCGTATCTGCCTGTGTATGAGGCAGATTTTTCCTTCTTTGGGTCGCCGGCCGAAGATTGCTCCGAGGCCTTTGACTTTCCCTTTGCCTTATGGCCTTGGCCTTCAGACAAGGGTATTTGTCTTTGTTTTCCTCCCCCGAATTGAGGTTGGGTTTTCGCTTTGTTCCATTCTCGGCTCGGATGAACTTATCCGAGGCATTCAGAGCTTCCTCCAAGGTCTGCGGGGTATGCATGACCATGAAGTCTAGGAACTTCCCGGGCTGAAGGCCATTCTGCACTGCAAAAACGGCTAGCCCCTGGTCCAGTTGAGAGACGCTGGATGACTCGTTACTGAAACGGGTCAGATAGTCTCGGAGGCTTTCGGTTTCCCCCAGTTGCAGACTCATGAGTTCTGCAGTAGTCTTCTCTCGGCGGTTTGCCGTGGAAAACTTGCTCCTACATTTGGAGGACAGATCACCCCACCCTGTTATGGAGCCTTGCTTTACTCCCTTGGAGATCCACGCTTGCGCGACCCCCTTGAGAGTGGTTGGGAAATATTTGCACCAAGTCGCTTCGGATCTGGGGTAAAGATGCATATGAGTCTCATACGAGGCCACGTGGTCCTTCGGATCCGAGGTCCCGTCATATGTGATGTGCGACGGTATTTTAACCGTGGGCATGTGCTCTTCCAGTATCCATTGCTCGAATGGCGAACTGTCGGGTAGCATAACGGCCTTGCCCTTGTTCCTGGCCGAAGGAACCGCGCTCCGACCTCTTAGAGAGGTAGGAGTGGTTTTCGTCCCTGGCTGGGAAGTCTGGGCCTCGGCCGCAGGGAACGAGAGGCGACTGTGCAAGCTCGGTTCCTTGCCGCCGAGTCGGTCGAGGACGCTTCGGCGAACAGTCTTAGGTTGTTCTCGGTGAGTAGATTCTGGCCGAGAAGCTGAGCTGCTGCTCTTATGCGTTTCTGGTCGGGAGGATGAGGATCCTTTGAAAAATTGAGGGTTCTTTTTCCTCTCTTTTTCATTTTTCCAGGTATCCTCTTCCCACTCTTCCAGTTCCCGGAAGGAAGGAAGCTTCCCACTATCATGGTCTAGCTTCCTCCGTTGATGCCGGGTATGCGGAGGAGTTCGATCACGAGGTGGTGGCATATTTTGTGCCCTCATCGCCTCCATGAGCACTGCCAGCGCTCTTGCCACCTCCTCCGAGCTGGGCCCCGTCAAAGGGGTCCTCGGCCGAGTATGGGAATGAGGGCGCACAGTCGATGGTTGGCTTTGGGGCACTGAATGTGTCCTATGATCGGACTCACCCCTGCTAGACCGAGAGTGACTCGGCCTATGATGAGAGTTATGAATTACGGGAGAAAGGGAATCCTCCCTGTATGATCCTCCCCCCGAGCTGGCACCCTTGGGAGAGTTCCGGTCCGGCGAGGGTGATGGTGTAGGGGTTTTAGGCTTTTCGCCCGCTCCTTGACGGAGGCCTTTGCTCTTGCGGTTCTTAGCCAATGCTACTAAGATAATTGCAAGATGATCTTGGTTAGAAATTTGGCTTAAAGATTTTTGAAAGTCTTCCCCACAGACGGCGCCAAATTGTTTCGGGTGAAAACAATGGGACCTTGTCGAAGGTCCGATGAAGTGGAGAAGACTAGATTCGATCCAAGTAACGTTGGGCCGAAGGTTTCCTGCACAGTAAACACACGTAAACTAGTCTCGGGGGTGTTGCCGAGGAAGGCCCCTCCGATGCTAAAGTCAGTACAGTGCGTAGAAAGAGAACACTATGCAAGAGAATTAATTGCTTGAGGTTTTGCTTGAATGAATGTACAAATGTAATATTGATGGCTTTTATACCTCTGCATACATGGAGAAGTTGGGCCTTAGCCCAATTGGCTTGCCTTGAAAACTGATCTTTGACTTTAGCACAATTGGAGAAATGAACCTTGACCTTGGGCTTTTAATTGGATCATTTAATGCCTAAGCCCAATTGGACTAAATTGGACCCAAACACTATCTAAGACTTGAAATCGAATCCCGTCTATCTAGTCTTTATATTTATCCAAAATGAGGGGTTTGGTGTTTTTGGATGGAGTATTGAAGTACAAAATGGGACAACATTTTTGGTTGTAATACGTAGTATATGTTTTATGTAAGACTTTCACATTCAAAGGAGGAACAACATTTAGAGATAAATCATTTGCTAATAGAGTTTATGTTGACTTATGAGGATGGCTAAATGTGTTAGTGTATGCTTGTATACTGAATAGTAAACTCAATTACTTATTACTGAAATGTCCCACCTTTATTAGAAAAATGGGACTGAATAAAGGTGAAACATTTTGAGAGTGTAAAGTGCGAAGAAAATAGGTGAATTGATGGCTAGTTTATTGGTCTTTGTTGGATATAATGGTATGATGTATCGGATTTGATAGAGTATAAAACATATTCTCGAGCCTCAACCAAAAGAGAGTATAACACATATTCCTGAGCCTCAACCAAAAACTCATTAAGCTTTATACCCTATCAGGATTGTATCCTATTGCTCGCAGTCCTGCACGGTGCACACTGAGCATAGTATGGAAGACATTTTGGCTTAAAGGATGAGGGGTACGGTAAGCTGTCTCAAAGGGTATGCTCGATGAAACTCTTGCAATTCCTAGGAAAGTTTGTTCGTTGTGTTGGGGGTTGAGAGAATTTAGAAGAGGAGTAAATGTGGCAATACATGACCTACCTTGGTAAGTGATTTGGTGGGGAAGTTTATACATTTTGGTTTTAGTCCTGTGTTAATAGTCTAGTTATGGGTTACTGTTGGCTCATTTTTAAGGTCTGATTGTAGCTCATAAATATTGATTAAGCATGTGGTTGGGGTGTTTTAGTTGATGCACACCTTGATCTGTAAGAAGGTAGTGGGCAGTCTGAGCACTCATGAGCTGATCGCTCAGGATTCTAAGTGATAACTCTTAAATTTCCGGGATTCTTGGCTTTATTCTAGTCACAGGCAATTGCAGTATATAAACCTATGTCCCTGCTCCACATAATCCCAAGTCTCAACTCTCAAGAATTGAAGTATTATACATTTTGGACCTAGGCGGCTAGGCCCTTAGCTTAATTTAACCTTTAGAGCCAAGGCTGCATATGTGCACATGGATGTACATGATCCCTGCCTAGTCGTATTCTTATCAGGTTATATTTGTTTGATCTCAAGACGTATGCATCAGTGCACCCTCTTTGGCTATCAATGTAATTTGTATGAGCCAAAGTAGTATATTGGTATCTGGTTATTAGTAGGTGCAAACTGCAAACGTTGATATATGCAAGAGCTATGAATAATGTCAATGTTTTGTTAAAGCTATAATCAGTGCTTGTTTCAAAATTATTTTTATAGCTCTCTATTTTGGGGGAAACATGATCCAAGGTGGAAAATTAATATTTTGTGAAGAGCACACGTAGGTAATACATGGAGTATTGTCAATATCCAGTGTTGTGCATTGAAGGATTATGTAATTTCACGAGGTTTCCTTTGTTTTATGACCCTGAAAGTGAAGTCGCTGAAGTAGGAATTAGCTGAATAACTATGTTAGACAAATTTGAGGACAGAAATTTTATGAAGTTATGTCACTTATCACAGTCAGACCTAGCAACTTTGAGTCTTTAAGGAAATTTCCTAGCTATTTTATGGATTAATTTGGAAGTGTTCTAATGTCATATTCAGGCTGTTAGTGGGTTAGACCAGATGCTATAATGATAAATTGGACTTATAAAGTTCGTTTCATGTTGAGCTTGATTCTTGAGGTGTTCATTAATTCGTCTTAGACTGTTGCATGTCCTAAATTGCAATTGAGAAGAAAAAACTGTAGAAAATCACTTGATATTTAACTCTTTTTAGCCTGCAAGATGTCTCACTCTTTTGTTTTATTTCTTTGAAGTTTCTTTTTTTTCAAAATCAGTTTGATTCCTTCTTGTCTTCTCTCTTCCTGTCTTAGCTTCAACATCATTGTTTATAAGGACTGGATATGCAAATTTTAAGTATAATCTGTTGCTGATGACATCCCTTATTTTGTGCTGTTAGGCTGGTGATGTAGGGACTCAGTATCGGTCAGGGATATACTACTACAATGAGACTCAAGCACGTCTAGCTCAGGAATCAAAGGAAGCCAAGCAATTGGAGCTTAAAGGCAGGACTGTTGTAACTGAGATTCTTCCCGCTAAGAGATTCTACCGGGCAGAGGAATATCACCAGCGGTATCTGGCAAAGGGTGGCCGTTTTGGTGATAAACAGTCTGCTGCAAAGGGTTGCACTGACCCCATCAAATGCTACGGCTAATAGCAGATTTGGCTTCTGAACAATCATACTATATATTTCTATTTTGAAATTTATATGTTAGACTTATATATCTATGACTGAGCTCAATAAATTGTCTCCATCTGATTAATACCCTGGATCAAAAAACTTATATTTGGGGAATTCTTGTTAAGCAAAGAGAGCTTATAGCATGATGATTATATTTTTACGGTATAAATCATGAATTAGCTTCACACAGTTGTATTATTTGTGCTTCGAAATCTTTCATTCGTTTTTTCCATGGAAGTACTTCCCAGAAAACATAGTAATCAGAAATGATTTTAAATATAAAGACAATCAGAACTTTATATAACTGCCACTATTATTATGCTGCCTTTAGTTTAGAATAGGCTATTAAAGTGTAGCTAACAATTGAAATGTAAAATTCAAGTTACATATGCCATAAAAGTTTTGAGTGATTCAATCACTAACATCTCTAAAACTGATTTAAAGTTCATCCTTCCCGGAGTATCCATCCTCAGAAGATGCAGGATTATTCGACGAATTCTTGATAGCATATGAGGCCTGCATCGCAATCCCACACAACCCTTCTTTTGCTGGGATACCGCGCTTCATCCTGATGTAACCCTTCTCGCCCCATTCTTCTCCCCATGAATTCTTCACAATCCAGTACTTGGTACCATCAAGGGTAGCTCCATAGCCCACAGCCGCGACACCATGATCCAATTCTGTTCCACATTCTCCACTGAACACCCCCTGTTTTTCAAATCATCATAGAAAAACATTAAGCATCAATGTTTTACATTTCAAAATATAAATGTTCAAATTAGGAATTTTTATTTTACCTCTGAATAGAACTGCATATCTTGACTCCCAGCATCAATGGCCACAGAAATAGGCTGGTTAGCAACCGCCTTGAGCAAAGCGCCCTCGTTGTTCTCAGGTACATCTTCATGTCCATCAATTGATACTTTTGGAGCATTCATCTGCAACATTAGTTTTTCTTGTTAAATTCTGCTGTTTATAATGGATTATTTCAGTACACAAGATTATGAAGATTGCTTTTTTGTTTTTGGTGTGTAGAGAAATCAATCCCATGATCACCTGGAACTGGGAGGGGAGCTTTAACCACCTGAGCTACCCCTCACTCTCGAGATTATGAAGATTGTAAGTTATGGAGTAATACCTTTATTTTATCACATTTACCATCTGCAGCTGAGTAAGGGTAGTTTTTTTCATCAGTAAGTCCACCAGTTTTCTTGATAAAATCGAAAGCAGAGTCCATGAGACCGCCGTTACATCCTTGGTTCTCAGAGGTGTCACAGTCAACAAGCTCTTGTTCAGACAGGGAAACCAGCTTCCCTGTTTTGATCTGGTTAATACCCTCGACGGATACGACAGTGGAAAATGCCCAGCAACTTCCTGTAAAGAGTAAAGCATATAAACAACTAAGAATCATACAAGAAAAGCTAATTTGGATTAAACTGTCACTTTCTTGATTGACTCATTTCAGCTAGTTTGAAGCATAAATATTAGTCCAATAAGCAATTTTAGCAAATGATTTAATGCAGAACTTAATGAACAAGTAATTGTGTACTGACCACATTGGCCTTGGTTCTTGATAGGTGTAACAGCACCCTTCTTCCTCCAATCAACGGATGCAGGGACATTATCGGCGTCTTCATACATGAAGCTTCCGGTAGTCTTCTTGCCTTGGAGCATCCGGTGGTGGGCGATTTTCGAGCCAGCATAGTGAGTACGAAACTCATGGGTTGTCATATCAGCAAACTTGTTCAACTTAAGCTTGTAAGGCTTGTCCATCTTATTAACTTCATGGACATGCTTCACATTAGCCTTGAACACATTGAACCTTTTGTGTTTGTCTTCTAGGCTCCTTGACACGGTATGCTGGCTACGCCACCTCTCGTATAGGTTCCATAAACTATCTTCGGATTCTAGGTCCTTCTCATGGAAATCGAACCCCTCCGAGAGGCCAATGACCATTGCAAAGGCTAAGGATGCAAGTAAAATGCACTTGATCTTATTGTAACCCATATTTGGTTTTTTTTTTCCTTTGTGTGTTTGGTTTTGTGTTTTTAATGTGATGTAAAAGAAAAGTGTATGGGTTGATGATTAAATTAGGAGAAGAGAGGAGGTATTTATAGATGAGTGTTGAGGAAACAAGACAAGAGGTGTGCAATTATTATAACATATGAAGGTGCCTTATGGGTAAGAACTACTTAACAAAGAGAGGATTGTGTGCATGATATGTTGCTATTTCTTATGTTGGACAAGGTGAAAATTTCTTAGAAGTTTTAGGAAATTACATATTTTATTATGGAGTGGGCTTTGAGCTTACTTCTACCCACACACTAGTAAATGATGGGGAATTTGAGGCAAGTACGTTAATAGAGCTAGTAAAAGTAAATTCGATACAACTACGTGACAAGAGCTAGACACGATATTTGTGGATTAGTGTAGTGATTTTTTATTCATTAATGAGCCAAGTAAGTGCTTAGTGTTTAATATGAATATGACAAAAGTCCTATGTGCTTAGATTTTCTATCCGTTAATGAGCTTCTCACTTAACTAAAATTTATACTCCGTACTTCACAAACTTTTAAATCAAAATCTAAGAGGTAATTAAAAGCTAGAGCCTAGAGGGTTATTCAATCTTAAATTAAAATACTAGCATGGCAAGCAAACTAGCTAATTTACAAAAAAAATAGTTTTTTAAAATTATTTACATAGCGTGATCAAACAAGATAACTGAGTCGAATATATTTATGGCTAAGACCATCTTACCATTATAAGAACACCTTGTGATGGGTTAGGTCAAGGGGAGAAAGAAATAGGGATAGAGTCATATACTCACATGTTTAATTTGCAATGACTCACAAAAAGTGGTTCTATAATGCTAATGGTGATATAAGTTGATTAGTCCAGTATTTTAACTCATATACTTCTCTCTTTGATCCTCTGTTTCTGTATATGTATCCCATTTGAAATCTTCATTTTGTGGAGAGAAATTTTAAATATGAATTATCTATGATAATTATGCAAAGAAAGTAAGTAACATATCCACTTGGGATGCATTTAGATTCATCACGATAAATTATTTCATATTATTAACTTTTTTTAACTTATATAATACGCAGTTAAAAATATTGATTTTTATAAAATCGTGCAATGTAAATTGTGCAAAAGGTAAATGGAGCAAACAAAAAGGAATGAAGGGAGTAAATCAGTTGGCCTTAGGTAGATATCTAAGAATCCATCTTTGATACAAACTCGAAACTGACACAACATGATCCATTTGCCGCTTCTACATGTCCCCCTAATATTACAATGCGCTTACATAAGGGATACACCTTTATAGTTAAGGTATGACGAGCATTAGCCATACTAGTTTTAAGTTCAACTGGTATGTTCCACAATTTAGTTTGTTATTTTTCAGTGTTATCATACAACTTCGGTGTTGAAGAAATGGGTTAAATTGTAGTATTATGGGGGAAGAAGATAGATGTGTACGTAGCTTATTTGGGATGCGTGACAATTATGTGTGATGACGATTATGTTTTTTTATTTTGCTATGGTTTGTTTTGCAAATATCTTGTGGCTTGTTACAAATTTGCAACTGCAATTGTCCTTTTCCTTAATGAAAACATCTTGTGATATTGATTTTTAGATCTATCAATCAATAACATACATTTTTTTCACCATTACAAATATAAAGGTGCAAATTATTAGAAATTAGAAATAACTAAAAGATGATATGAATTGAAGGTGTTATTAAGTAATCTTTAAGTTAGGTGATTTTTTTTGAAATACTATAATTCAATGAAGTAACATGAAATTGTTGATTCATCAAAAGGCTAAAGTGTTCCAATACTTTAGCATTTTACTAGAGCAATGAAACATGCACTTTACCCTTAATTTCTTACATCAATCATTACTTCATCCGTTCACTTTTAGCTGTAAAAGTTTGACTAAATTTGTAGAAGTTTTTTTTAATCAAACTGTTACAACTAAAAATAATGGATAAAAGTATTTAAGTCATCTTATTTGATTTTTGATATAATTTCTGTACATAATTTTGAGACATATCATGTTTCTAAACATTATTTCATCAAGCTAATAGCCGAACAATGCTATTCATTTCATTTAACACTTTATAGATTTCAACTCCTTGTCGATCATTTAAGTTACTTGTATGGAATGGATTACCAAATAGACTAAAACGAGTGAAATCGAATTTGGATGTACCATATAGAACTTTCCCATTCTAGCATGAAGATCAATCATTTTAATGTATGCATTATTGAGGGAAAAAGTTTAAGAGATCTATAAAGCAATAAACACGTACCAATAATTTACATAACTAAAACTAAGCTTAGATTGCCCCAAACTTTACTTTACTTGTAACTTTCAAACTATATGGATATGTTCTTTACCAATATTATTGGCTAGATCTAATAAATGTAATGGCGCAAAGAAAAGATACAAAAAAAAAAAAAAAAAAAAAAAAAAAAAAAAAAAAAAGCATTTACTACTTTGTAGAAAAATTACATAACATTTTATCAAAAATGAAAAAAAAAAATTAAATAAAAAAAAAACTAAATGAATAAAACAAAGTTATGATAGTTTTGCTTGTAGAAACAAGAAAAGCGTAGTGTGTAGTGTGTTGGGTGGTAATGGCTTCTTCAACTGAAACTCTAGTGTAGAACACAACAAAATATGAAATGACTCGGCCTGTTCACATTTACTTAATTTCAGTTCAGTTTAGTTCAGTTCAGCTCCAATCAGTTCAGTTCAGCTCCTAATTTCCCTCACTCATAAAATATTCATTTCAGCTCAATTCAGTTCAGTTCAGTTCAGTTCAGCTCAGTTCTGTAAATGTAAACAGATCCTGAGACTTAAATCTTATAGTAAGCTTAATTATATACATTTAAATCATATTTAATGAAAATTTTATTGGAATTTGAGGCCAGTGTTTTTAGCTTCAAAGGCTGAATCTAAACAGAATCATTGTTGGTCAAGAATAATTTGTTCTCTAAAGTAACTCTAAAGGTTTCTTGCCTTTCATGCTATGTACATGTATAGTAAAACTAATTAGTCTAATTCCCTATCACATGAGAACCCATTTGACTAATTGATCTTTGATGTGGTATTTGGATTGTGTACGTGGACAAGCTAAGCTTCTAAATTAAGGGTTGATTCAAATTGACTCGAGTCTATTCAGTTACGTAGTATGTCATATTTATAAGTTTATTATGATATTATAAGCTACACAATATAATAAGTTTAGAGTCAAGAAGGGTTAATTTCAATTCGAGTCCAATCAAGTTCTATTATAACTTATAAGTCGGGGCAGATCTAAGATTATTAAGGTAACACTTGTAATTGTCAATTTATTACATAATCGTTTCTTTTATCTAAAATTTTGAAAAACGGTGGGTCATGTGTAACTCGAAACTGTTACTAAATCTCTGATGATTGTAATTTGTAAGTCAGATGAATTAAAATTAAGCATTGATATGACTGTAATAGAGTATATAAATCTTTGGCTTCAACCATTAGCTTAATTCTTTTGGTTTGGTTGATTCTTTAACACGGGCATCAAGAGTCAACATAACACTAAGGTCACGGGTTTGAATATCATCTACCCCTCTTTCATAGTGGAATAATATTAAGCGTTTTGTATATTGGAACCCATGCTGGATCTACACTTCAAAACCCAATGGGCTCTCATGTGAGGGACATAATAGAGTATAATAAACTGATTCTAAGCTTCATCAACTTTTAGTTGAGTTGTCGGATTTCTTTGTCAAGTCTATATTCTAAAGCCGAGGCCGAAATTCAAAATTCTAGGGAATATGCTGCCTTTAAGCTAAGTGTTCCCATATTTGACTAAACAAGTATGATGAAGCTATCGCTAATCATTTGAGCATTCTTCTAGAGGTCTTAAATTTATGTTACGATAGAGTATGGATTTGTGAAGATTGTAAGGTTTTGCCAACCAAGTCGGCATACATGCTAACTTTTGTAAAAAATAATTTGGAACTTTTGTAGCGTGATATATAGCATCAGAATGTAAAGTTTTTTTTTTTTTTTTTTTGACAAAAAAGGTTTAATATTTGGCTTGAAGGTTAAAGAAGGGCACATGATCGTTATTATCATCGAGGTTGCATGGACGTGTAAAACACTACTAATATTAAACGTCATCTCCTATTGATATTATAAATACAAGTTATAATTTTAATACTAATAGAGCCGCATAATCGACTTTTAATTTATGAGTATATTGTAGGATATGAGTACGACTATACAAGTAGTTAATGTCTTTAAATAGTTACTCTGTTTTTTTAGTTGTACCATAGTGGCTTGACATGTTTGTCAAAATGTATTTTTGACTATAAATTACATGATTTTTTTGTTTGGTCACGAATACTTGAATTATTTAATATATAAGCTTAGATTATAAAATTGTTATTTAAGATGCCAATATGAAAAAAAAAAAAAAAAAATCTAACAAGTTTTGACATGACTATACTTAACAAAAGGACAAAGTCAATATGGTTCAATTTACGAAAATAAAGTATTATTCCACAACTTAAGATGTTAAGTTGTTACTATATAAATCAAAACTTTAGAGAAGAGATATTGTTGACATTTTAGGTTGATAATAATATAGGTTGGGTATCATGTGAACTTCAAGAATGACAGAAACTCCAACACGAATTGTGTAAATAATTAGTTTTTTTTTTTTTTAAGTTTTTTTTTTAAAATTTTTCTTTTTCATGGAGAAGTCATGGACATCTTGAATTCTTGAGTACTCTTTAAGATAACCAAAAGATTAAAATTTAAATTAAGAAAATGAATGCAAGAATAATATTCATATGAAATCAAAAGGCATTTTACATCACTAGTATACTCTATAAAATCAATCAAATTTAACCCTGTTATTATTATTTGCAATGGCCCTTGAGAAACAAAAAAAATTCATCATAAACCAGTGAGAAAATATATTTACATTTTAAATTTCAAGAATATTGATGATATAATTTCCACTTTCAGTAACCCCCCTTTTTCTTCATTCACTGAGAACAAGAAACAGATAAACCGAAACATTGTACAGCTGAATAAACAGAACAGGGAAGATATGAAAGCTGTACCTTGCAGCCAACAGGCAAAAAACATAACATTCCATAGGAAGAAGAAATGAACTGTACATTGCAAGAGAAGAAATCATAGCATTTCATAATTTATACCCTCTACCCCTGTCTAACTATTAAGCACGCCAATCAAAATCACCATAAAAAACAACCAGTAGACGTGAATATATGATAAACCGAAGTAAAATGTATCACACCCAAGTGCAAATAACTCCATTCTTGTCAGATGTCGCCAAAGGCTTTCCTAGACCACTCCAAGCACAGCACAAAACAGAAGATCCATGTTCCTTAAGAGTGCTGACTATATCTCCCTTCTGTATTGACCAGATATGTACAGATCCATCGGCAGATCCAGCAGCAACATAATTGTCATCGGCACTAATACAGGATCTGCTCCAATTAGATGCCACTCTGTTTCCACTTGCCCTTAATGTATTGTAAACCTCAAGTGTTCTCATATCAAACAGATTATGCACATTATCTCTCCCACTGGTCAAAATTGTGTTACCATTTCGAGACAAAGAGATTGATGTCACAGCAAGAGAATGAGCAGCAACTTCACTTAAAAGCTTCCCTGTCTGAATGTCCCAAAGCCGGAGATTGCCATCGACATGACCAGAGCATATTGTTCTTCCATCCATACTGAAACAAACAGCGTTGCAATTGCTTGGAAAAATGATTGTATTAGTGCAATAACCTTTCTGCAAATCCCAAGCTTTTATTGTTCGATCGTATGCTGCACTGACAACGTGCCGATTGGATACTTTGCTCACATCTACTGCGCAGACTTTATCAGTATGCCCTGTAAGTGTATGTCGGATTCGGCCCGAGCTGACATCCCAAACATACAAGTTATTTGAGCTACTGGCAGCTATTACAGTTTTATTATCATTTGTGACAGTGAGATCAAGAACAGAACCTAAGCAACCATAAAGAGTGTGACTTAATGATCCTGTGCTTGTATCCCACATCTTAATAGAACGATCCTGTCCTCCAGTGATCAGTTTGTTGGAATTGTACTCAAACAATATGGAAGCACAGCCACCATCATGAGCTTGTATTCTATTCTTGCAAGTTGTAGGAATGGTTGATTCCACAAAAAACTCGGCACCTTCCTCACTTCGACGAACTACACCATCAACTTGTTGGCGAGCAATTTGTTGTATGCTGCTGGCCTTAAGTTGTTGAAGCATGTCTTCATAAAGAGAATTTGCCTAAATCAAAATGAATATAACATAAGATCTTAGTAAATAAATGTTAAATTTTCTGTATAAGGATGGCAACAGGACATAGCAGCTAAAGAAGTTGATATCGGCAGCAAAAGAATACATTCAAGAAGCTCTCCTGAGCCCTGATTAAGATACTTCAAACAACTAATAGGAACTCATTGATGCCGTTATCTGGTTAGTTTAGAGCTTGACAGTAGAATATTTTGGTTAGGACTTGGGAGTTCTCTGCCCTTCAATATATAAAGCATATTGACTAGCAAATCTGATCTATGAAGCTTCTACCATAGGCAATGAAACCACAGGAAAAGATTGATGAAAGTATCTAGTGATAGTCAAACACGAGATATATAGAAGTTAATGGAGACAGTTCATAACCTTTTCCATTGGGAATAATAGGAACTCATTATGGTTACTTGGTTAGTTTAGAGTTTGACAGTAGATAAATTTGGTTAGGAGTTCTCCGTCAGTCAGTGTATAAAGTACATTAAATAGATCTATGAAACTTCTACTAAAGGCACTGAACTGCAGGAAAAGATTAATGAAAGCATCTAGTGATAGTCACACAATAGATGTTTAGAAGTTAACGGAGACAGTTATAACTTTTTTTCCATAAGGCAATTACTCATCTAAAGGTGATGAATCATTAATTTACTAATTTTATTGAGACAAAATTTTCATTCTTTATGTAATGAAGTTCATAAATCAAGAAAGTAAAACCTGATCTCTCCAAGTGAATTGCTGAAGATAGCTAGATATTAACAGAAAATACTTTATCCCTAGAACTTCAACAGCAATAATATACTTTATAATCTCAAAGGGCCCCACGCCACAGCATCTAACTGCAACATATATTAACCAAAAACACAGGGAATAAGAGGGACTCTTATAAGCATCAGGAGAACAAAATTAGAACAAGCCATCAAAAATTAAAAGAAGCTATCTTGACTGAAGGTTGCCAACATTTTTCAGTCCTTAAATCAGTTGCCAGTATTTGCAAAGAGCAGCGGAGGAGTTGATGAAAGCTACAAGTGATACACTCAGACTAGTCACTTAGTAATGTCAATGGCAACTTTGTGGAATAAGCTTTTTTCGATTCTGATGCCCGAAAATGAACAAATTTGAGGAAATAATAACAATGGAAGTTTTGGTTCTAGAATTTCATGACAAACAAATTGAAAATGGTACATTTCATCACTTGTCATCCTTTCTTCACCTTAAATCAACAGGTATGGTCCATTGTCTTTGCATATTAAGTACAGGAAGCGCTGAAATTTTCACATTAATATTTCCTAATTTATTGGCATAGCATAAAAAAAGGAAGGGCCCATATTGACTCAATTCATAATTATAATCATCAAAGACATATCAATCTCTCTAGCTTTTGTATATGCTTATGGTCCAGCACTCCAGCACAACACATCAGCAAGCATTAGATTGATTATAAGACTTGAAAATGCGCTTTGCACACTCAGAACAGATCTCCAGAAACCTTTCAAGATACTATATTCTTACATCATAGCTGTTCAAGAGATCCCATTACACCCATCTCACGCAGTAAAATGCATTGTGCTAAGTTTCTCGTGGTTATAAACTTTATTTTGCTTGTTTACATCAACTTAAACAGGCCTGACAAAACTCACTCTCAATCTTTAATGAAGTGCTATGTGTCCATTTTCTAAAAAAGCATGAATGCACGATATAATACTCAAAAGGAGAAATTGTGGGAGTAATTACACTGGCCAAAAACTACCCATCAGACAAAAAGCTCGGCATTCAACAACAAACATTTCTATTAACTGCAGAAGTAGCTCCTTTCTAAAGCAATAAGCTGATGAATATACATGTGATACCCAGATAGATAAGTAGGCTAGTGTGTTTCAAAAAAAAAAAAAAAAAATCTAAGTCAAACAATTACATGGCTATATATGATCTTGAACTATTCATGGTCAATAAAATTTGATAAGTTTGGTCCAATAACAAACCTTTGCATAATTCAGTATCCTTACAGAGATTTTAAAATGTGCAGAATGAATCAGACTTTCTATTTTGCCACATTTTTTTTGAGTAAAAAATGTGGCAAAATAGAAAGTTTGATTCAATTCTGCAGTTAGTACAAATCACGCAGCTACCAAATAAACCCCGCCCAGCACTAAATTAAATTCAATATATCATTTCCTCTCGATAAAAACTATAGAGAGGAATAAAATACCTCATTAAGACGCTCAGCATCTTGCATTTTCTGGAGCATCCAACGATCAACCAACATCTTATTCTCAGCTTCAGCATTTTTTGCTTTCATACTCATCTCATCAAGTTGTTTTTTCAGCTCTTGGTTCTCACTTGTCAGCAATTCTTCACCCTTAATCTTCTCATCTAATAGTTTCTTCAACTCAGAGTTCTCATCGCTAAAGCATTATGTAAACTTCGATTCAATATCCATATGAAGTGAAGTACAGATAATTCAGAAACAGAAAGCCAGAAAATCATAGTGGAAAGCACAAGAGGTTAACCTGAGCTGAGTAACCTCCTTTTCCAAGTTAGCTACAGCAGTTTCTTTCTCTTGAATCAAAGCTTTGGAAGACCGTCCCTCAGCAACTTCAACCACAAGCTGCTCAGATAGTCGAGATTGAGCTTTGTAACATTGCTGAAGTTCAAGCTCCAAATTTTCAGCTTTCTCTTTCCATTCTGAGCCCTTAAAGAGTAGATACAATCAGTCAGTTACTTAAAGAAATGAAAAAAATAGGAGACAGGTATGCAACACCTGTAGGTTCATTCAAATAGAGCTGAAACCATATAGTGTATAGACCAAGCAGGGACCCATTATAGTAGGTCTAACTCACTAATGTTCGAAGACGTTTTCGCACCAAAGATAATTGCTAAGAATATGTGATAATCTAACCTAATTCTTGTTGATGTATGCCCGATTATTCAGCAAACCCATTCAGCACATAAAACTTGCCACTTAAGCTAGATCAAAAGAGAAACTTCCCCCAAAAAAACAGGCCAATAATGATAATTGTAAAACCCAAGTAACATGGGTAAACCTAAATTAGACAGAGGAGTTAACTTTTGTCATCACTAACCTAATCAAGTTACTCATCAAACATAAGCACTAACTATTTAGTTCCCATATCTGGGCCCAAGCTGCTTAACAGGCTTGTTTGGCAAATGGCTTTTAGCTAGATTTTATGTTGGTTTAACATATAATAAGGTCAAAAAACCAAAAACTTTGTTTGCAAAATAATTTTTCCATCAAAATTTAATAAACCATAAATGCAAAACTTGGCCAGAACATATCTAATTCTCTTTCATAAATTTTCTAATTTAAATGATTGTAAAAATGCCAGTCATTTTGTATACTCATGGCTAATCAGAACAACCAATCTTACACCATATCACAACAATCAGCAAATGCTGCCAATTGACTAATAGTCTGATTAGTCAAACAAGCCAATTGAACCAACCAACATCCAATATTAATTCTCGTCAATACACACATTAACACAATTATCGAATAAAAATGAACAAAAATTCAAAACCCTAAAATAACGAGAAAAAAAAAAATCTGCAAGAAGTTAAGTGTTTGACCTGATGAATAAGAGGTCTAGCAATAGCGGTAATCGCCGGAGCATGAGCACCTTCTTCCGCCAAATGCCGCTTCCGAAGCGCTTTCAAAGCATGCTTAATTGCATCAATGGCAACTTCTTCTTCATTCAACCTGCTTCAGTAATTTCAAATTGATCAATTCATTCATAAATTCATCAAAAAATTAGAAATTATACTCAAACAGTATAAAAAGTCAATTAAATTTGAAAGAAGAATAAAATTTTATTACATTTTTAGCATCGGCGATTATTTCTTCTCCTTCATTCGCTAATTCAACAGATTTTCGTCAATATCTTGCAGCAGATTTTTCGATAATTGAATTTTCAGATCGATTATCGTTTATATATAATTATATTAGTGTTGTACTGGAGAATTTTGAAGAATCTGAAGAGTATAAAGTTTGCTTGAATTTGTAACAAATTCAACAAGAAATTTTAGAAAGATTTAGAAGTTTGAGTAGAAGAGGAAGATGATAGAAACAGGAGTTCTTTTATTTAGTTTGAGTGAGAAAATGAAACAACAACCAAATGAACCGATGTGGGTTTGATGTTTGGGCCCATGGAGCCTCGTGAGTTTTAGGTGAATCCGCATCGAGACATCTGCAGTTCGAGCATTCGGGTCGAGTTTGGTGAGTTTAAATCGAGTGGAGTCTATTTTAAATTTGAGTTATGTTAAATTAGTGTATCCGTATAAAAATCTAAATTTGAAAAAAAAAAAATTGGGTTGGTTAGGTAGATTTCGGCCGCAAGCTTTCTGTCCCCCTTTAAGTGGTTTTTGCTTCTTCTTGCTCCTGTTCTTAACTCTTTCTCGGGTAGTTCTCAATGTTTGGCACTTTCCATACTTCGTGGGTGCAACATCAACAACTTCGCTCATGATCAAGTTACAGCCAAAGATCTATGACTATATTATGTTAATTGTTCGTATTTCGTTCATTCCATCGGTATGCTCCCAGGTACCTGTAATTGTGATCCATTTGCCAAAACTGAGGGGTCTTTTTTGTGGAAACCTTCACGAAAAATCGTCGTTTTTTTTTATAATGGTTTTCCCCTTTTCACAGCTGCTCTTTCCATACCTTTGGATATCTGGTGCCAAATCGTAGCATGATTCCTTATTTCTTCAATGATAGAGTTGGCTATCTTTGTGGCATCGATTTTACAAGTTTACGAAGAAGGCTGGACGAGTGGAATAAGGGGGAACAACTCGATCAACAAAAAAGAAGAGTAGCCTCCCTAGAACCTGGCAGTAATTACCAATGAATTCCCGAAGAATTCTCAACCAAGATCTGCAATTCATTCTTGTAAAGATTATAACACACAGAAGACTCCTTACCTTAGGAGCGGGATGAATAATACATCCAGCGAACGCCGGTGAAGAATGCAAGCAAAGCTGGAGCTCGAGCATTGTTATATTCTAATCCATCAAGAAAAAGAAGGCAGACTATTAAAAAGGCTGACCGCATAAAGTACATGGAGTGAACAGTCGGGTGAAGTTTTGACATCCATAGTTATTCCTCCTTATGTTGTGGAATAATGCATGTATCTATTTAATTGGATACATGAAAGTTGAAGCAAAATGCTAATTAAGGATCATAATTTGACTCAAGTCCGATCCAAACCCTACCCAATATCAAACATAACTAGGCACAATTTGACTAAATTTAACCAAACTAATAAAATTTTTCTGATATGTAATTTTGTAGAATATAAACTAATTGACAGTATATTTAAGATTATGGATGTCAATTAGGTTAGTTGACTAAGGGTCTGTTCCCTTCAGCTTAATTTTAATTCAGTTTAGTTTCTAATTTCCTTCTCTCATAAACAATTCAGTTCAGCTCAGTTCAGCAAAGTTCAGTGAATGAGAACATACCTTAAATTCTTAAGGGGTGATATACAAAACCTAAGACTATCACCGGATGTTATCATAGTGCCCTTAAGATTAGTGTATATGAGAATGTTTTGGAAATACTTTTGCTATTGAAATCTCTCTATGAACAAAAGGTCATTGTGGCATTTGGTCATTCAACTTCAAAATACAACTAAAATAAGGTCTAATAAAAACTAAACAAATTCATTGGTTTTCCAGTGTGGAAATTAAGTGAAATGAATGCACCCTAATATGTTAGAGAGTAATATTTTAGTAATCAATAATACTCTACATTAAAAGTTGTCAACACAGAGGTAGACCTTACTAGCAAATAGCTCTAGGTCACAAACCGCTTAATGAATCTTTATTACTCACTTTAAAATTATTGAATCAAATCAATCAATAATGGTGTTTGGTGGATTTTATTTATATATTTTGGTAGATAAGGAGAAGTACCTATTAGAGATCAATTTAATTTGACATAAGTTATCGATCAAAACTCGTTGAATTTAAAGGGAAAAGGGTTTTAAAAAAATCCCTAGCCTCAAGGAACCCTAATATTATTCGATTTTAAAACTTCTAGATTGCGAGATGTAAATCTTTTCACTAAACCAACCTTTGTTTGATCAAGACTATAAAGAAGATATCAATAATTTGGATTTTTCAGTTTGATTTTTCCTTTTAGATAAGGTAGTAGTTTATGTTTTTTATTCAACAAAACAAAACACAATATCATTATCCTATTTTTATATAGTACTTGGTATAATGACTATTATCCATAATTTTCATAATTAACCACCACTTGTATACAATCATTTAAGATAGTCCATAATCTGACGACACCCATCTTTTACTTTTGAGGATCAAATTCCTTTTCAATTGGTACTCTCTCCAAAAAAAATTCAATTGGCCCAACCCTTTAATTTAATTGTGTATTGCTAAAAAAGATTCCTGTCCTTACTCCTATTTTAGTTTAGAATCTGCAATTTTCACATTACCAACACCTTATCCTCTGCTCAAAATAAAATAATTTAAATTTAATAAAAATACAAAATTCAATTATTAATTTCTTGACTTATTTTATTTTTTAATACCCAAAAATATCTTCTAATTTTCTAAACTGTATAAATTGACAAGAAAGGTTCTCTATTTTTCTGGGCATCATTTCCTTCTTCATCCCCTTTAAAAAAATTGTAGCTTTTTACTGTTCATTGAAGTTTTTCAGGGGATCGAAGATGGCCGCCTGTTTTCTGGGTTTCTCTCTGCTTCTTCTACTTGCTCCTTCGGTAATTCATCTATCTATTTCCTTTGGTTGATCTTTTTAATTTTAATGAATTTGTCATCCATTAAAGTTTCCATTTTTGGTTAATTGTACTTTTTTTTCTATGAATAATTGTTATGTTTGCCTTATATTGATTTAGTTGACCCACTTATCTTAAAGTTATGATCACTTGTTATAATTTTGATTGGTCAAATTATAATAACTACCCATTTCAGGGTTCTGTTTTTTTTTAATAATTTAGAATCAGTTTTTGTATTAGAGTTATAGATATGACTATACGAGTTAGCTTAGTTAGTAGAGTCTTGAAGCATGTATGTAAGACTCGAGATCAAATTCTGTCTTATTATCTCTTGTGGCTCTCTATATACGAAATTATATTAGAATTACAATTGATTTGCTATGATTGGATCTGTGGAACTTTGAATTTGGGGAAAGAATTAAGAAAAAAAAAAAAAACCTTTTTTCTTTGGAAAATATAAATTTCTTAAATAAAGAAAATTGGAAGTTTGGTTTAATTTCTTGTTCAAATTTTGATTTGAGCTATTGTATTGGTGGGGTGGGGCAGGAGAAGTAGGGGGCTTTGGTGTATTCTACAAGTATATATTAGTGGCCATTTCTGGGTCAGTTAGCAAATTTGTCTTTTGGGGAAATTCTTGTTTTTAATACTACGTAAAATATTATGACTCACATAGTTTGTCCTGTGTTGTTGGGTTGATCTTTGAGCTTGATTTAAGTTGTTGCAATTGCTAATTATCACTTGAAACGTGTAAGAAATTCTTGGAGTATTTATTTGTCGTAAAAATGTTTGATAATTGATTTTAGCACTCCCATAGTTATAACCGCAGTATACTTCTTTGAAGAAGGAAGAAGGTAGCTTGGTTATTGATCCTTGGAGTGTCAATATAATTATATAACCAAACCACCCTCTTCTCAATTCTCCCAAAATTTTCTCCTACACGGCTACACATTTACAATCCTAAAACATATATTTTTTTCCTATATTCTTTGGAATTGTTTAAAATCATGTGTTTTTAAGTGTATACGTCTCCTACCTTGGGAATTAGAGTTGTGCTTTCAATATTTTGTCAACCTATGAACTGATGGCTTTTTTACTTTCCAAGAAGTTCAACTTAGTGTAGATTTTATTTTGCTTCTAACAACTACTTGAAAGTATAACTCATTAGCAATGGACATTAGTAACTTGTAATCTACTGGTCGAGTAGGAAAATGCTAATTGAGTAAATGTAGGTACGACTAAGAATCTAAGTGTAGTGATACTTAACTTTAAAGAAACCCACTCAAGGTGTAAATTTGTCATAGATTCTCAACCCACTCTTATTTTGAGGGTTATAAACTTATATATTATGCTTATTTATGGTTAGCGAAACTAGTGGAGTGGAGTCATATGGATTGCTTTGACAAACATATGACCTTAACCTCTTGCTGAAAGCTGAAATTAAAATTAAAATTCATTACCTAATAACATGTAAGTGTGTGCATTGCCCTGCAAGAAGTGTGAAATCATAAATTAGTTCCTGTATGTCCCCAGCCACAGGAGTACAGGACTACTTATGCTCACAAGCTTTGTACTTTTTAGTGGTTGTTATTTAGTTCCTGAGAGTATAAAAGGTAAAAGGTTCATCCTTAAGTAGTAATGAAGTAGAATTTGAAGCTGTATGTTATACAATATCTACTGTCTATGCTTCTCAATATATCATTATCTTGTTGTTTGTTCCTTTCTTGACTTGACAAATTCTCTAACAATTTCTTTCATGTTTATATTGCAGCTTATTGTGGCTGAATCAGTGTCTGAGCTGAAGTTGAACTCGAACCTTCTCCAGGTATGTTTAAGCTCCTTTGAGTGATGTAAAACTTATGAGTCATCTCTATATTGATCAACACACCTTCATATCTTATTTCAGGACTCCATAGTCAATTCAGTAAATACAAATCCAAAAGCTGGATGGAAGGCTGGAATGAACCCGCGATTCTCTGATTTTACAGTGAGTTTTCGTTCAAATGTTCTCTGATAATTGTTTGATGAGACTCAATCTTTAATCTTCAACAACCTGAGTGTTCCTGAAAGACTGTAACTCTTTAGATTTGCGCAAAATTTTCACTGCTGTTTTTTTATTTTTGTCATTGTTAAGCTTGGCCAATTCAAGCGCATCTTAGGTGCTAGACCAACCCCGGAGAGTGAGAAGAGGAATATTCCTCTAGTGCATCATGACAGGTCCTCGAACTTGCCAAAGGAGTTTGATGCCAGAAAAACATGGTCTCAGTGTAGCACTATTGGAAGAATTCTTGGTAAGTCTAAGTGATGTATTCTTCTTTCTAATGTTCTGTAACAATATCTATGCAATGATCATCTAATTCTTATTTACTTTTGTCTCCCTTTTCCTCTTATCTCACTTGGGGGGTCATTGCTAAATTCCGTATTAAAGACCAGGTACTTGGCATCTTATTACATTTTGTTAAAACAGCTGTCAGTTAAGATAAATCACAACATTTCAAGCTCACTTAGATGATCTTCTGCTATCTGTCAAATAGGGTCACTGTGGTTCTTGTTGGGCATTTGCTGCTGTTGAAGCTCTTTCAGATCGTTTCTGCATTAATTACGGCATGGTAACCACACTCTCTATCTTTTGAATCCGTTATATTTCCTTTCCTTCTGAAATTAGTCATAACATTATGTTCCCCCAAATATGTTCTTGTAGAACATCTCATTATCAGTTAATGATCTCTTGGCATGCTGTGGGTTCTTGTGTGGAGCCGGATGTGATGGTGGAACACCCATCTATGCCTGGCGCTATTTTGTTCACCATGGTGTTGTCACTGAAGAGGTAAAGAAATTATTCTTCAGCCCAATGATATGTTTTCTCAACTTTTCAACCTTTTCCTACTAATAATGTCTGTATGTTGACGTGTGTGATTGATTTCTCTGTAACAGTGTGATCCATACTTTGACACCACTGGTTGCTCACATCCAGGTTGTGAGCCCGGTTACCCTACTCCCAAGTGTGTAAGGAAATGTATGGGTGGTAACCAATTATGGAGACAATCAAAGCATTATGGTTCAAATGCCTACAGAGTTAAAAAAGACACATATCAGATCATGGCTGAACTCTACAAGAATGGACCTGTTGAGGTGGCTTTTGATGTTTACGAGGTAATCGAATAGCAATCTGAATCAGCTAGCAAGCATTGTTCAGTTTTAATGCAAGTAGTTTGAAATTTAGTGACGGAGCTCATATTTAATCAAAGCTGATTTCAATGCAAACTTATAGATGAATGAACTAATACGGGTATAAATAAGCTATATTGGTGACTCGTTAGGCCACAAGGTTTCCTTTTCCTTTGGGTTTTCAAACAGAACAATGATTTGGGACGAGAACCTGCTACATAAGATTTAAAGTGCTGACCACCCTCAACATTTGCTATGTAATTTTCCAAAGTGCTTTAATTAACAGATATTAAGTGGGTTCATTGGAACCCTGTGCTTCTAACATAGGTCTGTCACTGATTGATTTTTCAACCAAGCTAAAAGTCTTAAGCTGGAAAAACCAGAATCAAGATAAAGTGTAGTTGCCTCCGCCTTTTAGCTTTTACTCAATCCTGTTGTTATTTTATTTCAGGATTTTGCTCATTACAAATCAGGAGTTTACAAGCATGTGACCGGACAATACCTTGGAGGACATGCTGTGAAGCTGATTGGATGGGGAACTACTGCTGAAGGAGAGGATTATTGGGTACTTTTTGTTACCTTTTCATATTCTGACCCTTTCGATGTATGAATTATATCTCAGTTTTGATGCCTGGTTGCTAATTCAATGTCATGTTTCACAGCTACTCGCAAATCAGTGGAACAGAAGCTGGGGAGATGTATGTTTGTTCTCTCTTGTAATCTTATTTCAACCATCAAATAATAACAAGTATATTTTTGACTCATATATTTTTCTTATTATGACAGGACGGATACTTCATGATCAGCAGAGGAACCAACGAATGTGGCATCGAAGAAGACGTGGTGGCTGGCTTGCCTTCACCCAAGAACTTGTTCAAGGTGGTAGGCGAATCAGATGATGGTGTTTCTGCCTCCTTTTAAGCGATATGATTATTGCTCATTGATTGGCTTCTATAACATATTTCCAAATCAGCATCGACGTAGGAAATGGACAGTATTTGATATCTAATGTTCATTGGCAGCAAATCATATTTGTAATTTGTGATTCAGAACATTAATGAAGATCTCAGTTCTATAAGAACATGATTCTTCAGAATAATTCTCAGCTAGTCTATTACATGTAAATGTCCTATTAAAGAAGAATACTGCTTGCTATTAACCAAATTATCAAAGGGACATACCACTTCTTTTAAGCTCTTTAATTCTTTTCTTCCCTGTTTGGATTATTCTTGAATTAGCAAAGTTCTCCGGTGCCAAGCAGGCCATTCTTGCAGATCGACATATGAAATCCTTGATCTCCTTTTCACTCCCTGCTTTACCGCTTACCTATTGAACACCGGTCTAGATTGATTACACGAAAGGATATTGTAACAGCATAGGCTGTCATGTTTGCTTGCTGGCTGCTTCTTAGACCTTGCAGAGCGCGTATTTGAGATGATAATTAAATGATAAGAAGTGTGTGTATTGATAAAAAAAAAAAAAAAAAAAAAAAAAAAAAAAAAAAAAAAAAAAAAAAAGGATCACTTAAGTTAGACTACAATTTCTCATGTTCTCTATTAAGTATAGTTTAACTTGTACACATTTGAAGGCAAGAATTAGACACCACAGCAAAATGAAAAATATAATAAAGGTTTAAAGATGAAAAAAAAATCTTTAATTGAACTCCTTAATTACAAGAATCAAACTTCTATTGAATAATTTTATTTAAAAAACAAAAAACTCAATCCAGCTCCATAATTGGTATTTTACTTATTCATGCAACAATTTTATTCATTAATTTATAATACATTACTGTATTATTGCTTGTTATTTTAATCCCAATGCATTATGTATAACAATTTTTGGCCTAATTTTTCTTTTGACGATCAATTCAAAAGCCAAACATAAAAGTTTCCATTGCAAATTTGTCCATAATATGGTTGAGCTAGTAATATAACTTAGTATTGTAATAGACTAGTAGTCAGTCTCATGAAAGTGATGGGCTTTAAATTGCTATAAACTATGCTTATAATTCTTGCTAAAATCCCCCATCACTATAATTATGAGTTTATGACATGGAGGACAAATGGCGGTTAGGCCGGTTACTCTATATATTACAAATTAGTTTTTACACTTTCCATCAACTAATCATCTAGATGTGCCATGATTAAAAGCTAATCTAGGACAAATGCAATATTTAGATGGATAAAAGGTAAATATGATACAAGGTCAGACTAGTATAATATGGAATGTCCCTGAAAAGGCATAACATGACATGCTACTATTTATGCCAAGCAAACATGACTTGAAAAAATAAAATACATTAAAATAAGTTAAATTTGGCTTAGGAACACAAGCATGGCATGTTTCCATGTGTGTTTAGGTCGTGCTTGGGCTGCGCTTTTGAAATTTTTTTGACAAGTTGGGATGTAACAAGTGAGCTTAACTTTAGACAAGACATGTAAGTAAAATATAAGGTAAACCCAACACGAATCATAACCATTTTAAAATTCCATAACCATGTAAAATTCTATCTTTACCTATTGCATAGGTAATTTGATATTGTATTATATTTAGACAATTAGACAAATAAGCGTCCGGATCCTCTAGAGTTGGAGGAAAACTCTACCATGTAGAGTTGGGCTTATCACAACCCTTCATATATATCAACGGTTGATAGCCTTCAATCTTCCACTAACTTTATAAAAACTTTTTTTTAAAAAAAAGGCAATTTGTAGTTACCGAAGTAGGCGCCTAAATTGCTTAGCTGCTTCAATACTTTTCCCACCAAATATTCATCTTATTTTCTCACCAAAATCTTTAATTTACTACTATGATTCGTAATCTTCACTCTTATGAGTCTATATCTCCACCATTGTTAAGTAATTTTTTTTTTATTTGCTTCCCCATATTTTAAACCTATATATATACACATTAAAAAAAATTAATGCAACAATCATCTACCATTAACAATAATTCAAGGCGCAACATTTGATCAAGAAGTCTACAATTTGTGATTTCGTATTTTCATTCAACGAATACAAGTAAGATAAAATTGCTCCAATATTTGCCCTATTTTAATTTATATTTCCATTCAAAAACTTCAGTTTTTTTTATAACTTTTTTATTTTTACACTTTAAATTATTTATAATTTGAATGATCATCTTTAATGATTCATACTAATAGCTATAATAAAATTTATTTGTCTTAGAATGGAAGATCGTAACGACGAAGTAGAAAATTGGGTTCCTCGGGTAGGCATGGAATTTGATTCGGTGGAGGATGCTTCGAATTTTTGGCTACAATATGGAGAGAAGATGGGATTTAATGTTTGTAAGCACTATGAGAACAGGAGCAAGGATGGACAGGTAACTTCTAGGAGATTTGTTTGTTCAAAAGAGGGTTTCCGTCAACCTGACAAACGAGACCACTTGACAACCAATTCTCGAGCTGAAAGAAGAACCGGATGCAAGGTCCGCATCGGTATTATATTAATTAGATCTACAGGTAAATACCAAGTTCATGATTTTGTATCCGAACACAATCATGTACTTCATCCACCGGAAACCAGCCACTTGTTGTCATCGCAGAGAAAAATTTATGAAATACAAGCCATTGAAATTGAACTTGCGGATGATTCTGGAATTCGTCCTAGAGCAGCTCATGAGTTCATCGGTGCTCATGTGGGTGGTTATTCCAATCTTGGCTACACTCAACGAGACCATAAAAAATTATCTACGAAGTGAGCACCAAAGAGATATGATGTATGGAGAAGCAGGAAGTTTATTAAAATACTTTCATTTACAAACAGTGGAGAACCCTTCATTCCAATACTCAATTGAATTGGATTGTGAAGAGCAAATAACAAACATATTTTGGGCTGATGCAAAAAATTCTTATTGATTATGCTTTATTTGGAGATGTAGTTGCCTTTGATACTACCTTTGGTACAAATAAAGAACATAGACCACTTGGTATATTTAATTTGTTGGTTTTAACCATTTCAGGGAGACAACAGTTTTTGGTGCAGCTCTTTTATACGATGAAACAACTGAATCTTTTAAATGGTTGTCCGAAACATTTCTAGGACCCTCAGTTGGATGCTACTCGTTGATATAAATCATTGTGTCAAAAATTTGTGAAAGTTGCTTCGAGAGCCTCTAATTTTGAAGAATCATCATCACTTTTAGAGAATGGGTTACATAATTTGATTTCTGAGGTTGAAAAGTTATTTATGAGCCTTGCTATCGCAAAGGGTAGAGCTTCTTCTGATGTGAATTCAAGTGAACAACTACAAGCATGTGTTCCTAACAATATTACTTTGAAACCAAAAGAGGGGAAAAAAAAGGAGGAAAGCGAAGAAAAAGTTGGATTGGAAAATTTCATGATGTAAGTACTCAAGCCAATCGGTCAAAGCAGAAAAAACATAACAAGAAGAAAGTGCCAGATCATCCAAATTCAGAAAATATACCACCACAGGTAAAGCCATATTCATAACTTCATAAAATAGTTTACATTAAATTGAACTTTTTTTAATTTTCTTGTGTTTGTTTTTTTGTTTCCTTTTTGTAATTTTACAGCAAGGAGAAATTTATAATATGCCACATGAGATTAATTATGATAATCTTGAAATCCCCTGGAGCAATTATACACAAGTATTGTTGGTAAGCATCATTACACAACTAAATTTTTCTTATTATGTTGTACTCTGTCACTGAGCTTTTTGTTTTGTAACATAGGGTGAATGTTATGGAAGTGAAGCTTCATCTTATTATAACACATGGAAAGAGGTCCCATTTCAAACTCAGGTGTATGTTGTAAATAATATAATCTGCATTTAGAAGTAATACCTTATATTAATACATCTTCAATGACTTTTTGTAGGCTATGAATGTACCAAATTCTACTCTTGAGCTCAACCCTCAGACCTATTTTAGCAACATGTCAAATGTAAATCAACGAGGTATATTAAATGTTGTATAATTCCTATAAATTGTGTGATACTTAGGTAGTACAAGCTATGTGTGAGTTCACATAGTGACATTTTGTTCTTTACATGGATGTAGGTATGTGATGCTTGAGGTCCCTCTAGGTTGCTTTGCAAGTTGAAGCTCATGGTGCAAGCTAAGTTTGATGAAGAAAGAGTCATATTTTTTATTCTATGTAATCATACATCATTATGAATTTATCCAAATGCTCATTCTATAAAATAATATTATCTCAATTAGTTTTATCACAACTCAAACATTTATTCATAATCGTGTAGCCTATGTAGGATTTGAACCTACTTCATTGTGTGCTTTAGCACAACGCTCTACCATATTGAGCTAATAGGCTAGACATTAGTGGCATACTGTAGGTAATAATTTCAAGCCTTTAAATCCCACTAGCTTGAACCCCACTGTGATCATACACTAAAGTACGGTGGCGTCCAAAAGGGAAGAAGATAGAGCAAAAGAGTCGCCAACAAGTTTTTTAGGAACTTGTAAACCGTTCATAGGATGAAGGTTACACCCCTTAACGATCCAAGAGATCGTCAACTCCATAAGGTCTAGAACCAAATAAGGGTTCGGGGATGAAGGTACAAATCCAACCTAAAAGAGATTGAACCTGCCCTTATAATAGGCCTCTACTTTATTCTGATCGTATTCATGTGCGCTTTTTAATTAATATGCAATCAATAGGATTACCCTAAACCTGTTTGTCTATGTTGGTTGAATATTAATGCACAAATAAACTATTATTGGCGATCACTTGAAATCATAATCAAATTAACCCTAACAAGATTATTAATATCTTATTAAGCGTGATTACAAGTACCAAATTCCCTTTAAACATGCATAAAGGTGTGATCAAGCAATAACAATAAAAATCAAGCAACATAATTATAATAAATATCATGAATAATAATTATAAAAGTAATAATCATAATAAAATAATAATAACCATCAAAATAATAATAATAATAATAATAATAATAATAATAATCATGAATAATCATCATCGAAATAACAATAACAATAATATTCATAATCATCATAAATTATAACAATTATAATCACAATCATGTTCATGTTAAAGCATGATAAAAATAGCAAGATCCTAGGCATGATACTAACAAGATTAATAACAAACCCTAGCATGTCACTAAGCAATAAAAATCAAATCTTTAGCCCTAACATGATACTAGCAATCATAAATATTAGGAAGAACATAGGAAGCATCGTAACAATCATATTTAATATTAAAATTACCCTAGACATGATACTAGGAATATCATAATAACAATGTAAACATGATTTCTACATCATAACATCAATTAATCATTAAAGTACTTACTTTGATGCCTCGTACTTCTTTCTAATAACAAAATACACACGTTAGTAACTTCAAGGAAAATAAATAATCAAACAATTAAATTAAATAATTGAAATAGAGATTTGGGACCAAACCCTCATAAATTAAACTTTTCACGTCTAGGGCGAAGGCAACTTCGAATATGGCTAGGTGTTTCTAGATCTTGTGAATGCGGAATTTTGTATGAAAAAGCAAAGGTTTAGAAAGAAAGAATTGAATGTTTTAAGAGAGATGAATGATTTAGAGAATGCTAAAGAATTAATGATTGTTGATGATTGAAAACGATTGGTGAGAATTGGTGAATGATAGATGTAGATGATGAATGAAAACGGTGTTTTTAAGACGATATTTATAAAGAAAATCAGCCAAAAAAGATAAATTTACAAAACAGAGTCTGACGCTCAGAAAAACAGAGTTGGCGCTAACCCTGGCTAGCTGGCGCCAGGCACCACCACTAGCGCCAGGCGCCAATGGCTAGCGCCAGGCGCTAGGCCTGGTTCCAGGCGCCAAGGCCTGGGGTTAGGCGCCAAGCCTGATACCAACGCGGGTTTTCGAAAATCCGATAAGTTTACCGTACTGGAGGATAAAATAATATAATTTCCTCGAAAATGCTATTTGATTTTGATTAAAACTCTGAAAAGTCAACAAAAGTCAATTTATCAATGCTAATTGAATTAGGAATGAAAAGAACCTTTTAGAGGAATCTAGAAGACTAAAACCATTCCTAATTGCATTAGGAATGATAAATCATATTAGGCCCTCCCCTAGATCATTGGGCCGTACATAAAGCTCAAATCGGGCCCAGTTTGGTAAATTGGCCATAACTTCCTCAATATTCATCGGAATTGGGCTTATAATATATCGTTGGAAAGGTCTTTGCAAGCCCCATCCAACTACACTAATATTGGACCCATATTATGGACCAACCAAACTGGATTGACTGTTTTCTTAAAATAAGTTTTAAAAAACAGAGAGAAGAGAAAAGAAAATAAAACTTTCCGCAACACTAGACCTTCCACAGTTTTGTTTCATTCGATTATGATTCGACGTGAAAGGTACTCATCACTGGGTTTGGTTTTGGGGAGACACAAATGGGTGTCTGCACATACCAAATTCAAGTAGCCGAAGTAGCTAGGTAAGCTCTAGTAGGAGAGGTAGCTTGTCATACTACTATAAATGAATGTAGTTGTCATATACTTGAATATAAGTTCCACTAATTACAACACTATGTGTAGTAGAAATTAGGTACAAAATTCAACGGTTTGAAAAGTAAATTAAAATGGGTGAAAAGCAACAAAAGCCTTTTTAAGTACTACACATTCATATCTGATCAAAATCTGTCTAAATCCAGAGCCAAGTTTAAACTAATTAACCATGATATAATCAAGATTATATTTCCCCAAATCTTGAAACTAATTAAAAAATAATAGCAACAAAATTAAACCCATCAAGATCCAATAAACGAAAAACCAATTACGAAGTATTATTTTGGCACACAATATATCAACAACAATTACGCAATTGCAGCTCACAAAGATCATAGAGATCGATAATCAAAACCCCCAAAATTTATCTAATTCAACCAAAACAAATCCAAAATTAAAATTCAAGAAATACAAACCTGATTTAATTAGATGTCAAGTGATACTTTGATGGATTTCACTGACGATCGAAAGCTAAAAATTGCCGTAGGTAGGAGAATTTTGGACAATAATGGAGAATGAAGACCCATGAGGCATGAGAGAGAATGTAGTGAGGGAGGTGAAAAAAAATAAGTACAGAATGTAATTGGGGTGATTGCCTTTTCTTTTCTTTTTTTTTATTTATTTTTTATTTTTTATAAAGTTAGTGGAAGATTGAAGGCAATCAACCGTTGATATTTATGAAGAGCTATGATAAGTACAACTCTACATGGTAGAGTTTTCCTCCAACTCTAGAGGATCCGGACGCGACAAATAACTATGTAGCTTTATAAAAATTAAGAACATGTCAAGTTAAATTAAGAAACCTTAGTTTATATTGTACTCATATAGTCACATGGTTACATTGATATATATGATGAAAACATCATTTTGATCCAAGATCCGATAGTAAATACACTTTATTTCTCGTAAGAAATGATTGCACGTATCATTATTCCACATTTAATGAGGAAAACAATTGTGGTTTTCATATCTATTCATTAAAGTAACGTGGAATTTTCCAGGCAACACAAAAATTGTGTACTTGTTTCAGCCTCAATCTCAGTCACTCTTGCATTGCTAAAGGAACACCTGTGACCTGTGTCTGTTTTCACTCTTATAAAGTCGGTCTGATACACTACACCCGTTGGTGCATACAATACACCCGTTGCATACGAGTATTTGAAGTTCGCAGAACAAGCAAATGTGCCCAGCACGTATTACTTGCAGGATACCAAGAAAGCTTATAAGCATTTGAACGTTTCTGAATGCAGAAAAGAAAAGTAGGAATAACAGCCAACCTGCTAGTTCTGTACACGTTCTATTGATTTTTTTAACGCACCAGACAGTTCTACATGGAAGCATGCTTCAGTCAACTTCTATTTCAGGTCTTAAGGGAAGAAATAAAACAAAGTAACTTAATTTGTTAATTATAAAGGCTTGAGATTAAAATGAGAAATCAATCAAAAGGCTTACTATGTACCAAAAAAGCATAGTAAAATTCAAGAACATGATAGTCAAATTACTGCTACACCCTCGACTTCGAAATGAACATATTTTTTTTCCTTAGAATGATGGAAA